AGAGAGAGAGAGAGAGAGAGAGAGAGAGAGAGAGAGAGAGAGAGAGAGAGAGAGAGAGAGAGAGAGAGAGACCCAACAGCCTTCAATTCGCATTCTGTCAGCAAGGAGCAAGACCATATAGCAGGGCTTCCACACGGGAATAAGCATGCTCCCAAACGTTAACATGTACCTTCTCCCGCAGTACATACTGATCATGGGATGATGCTCCTTTTCTTGAAGTAGATATCGAGCTCAACTGAGTCAAGGAAAGCAGCAGCGAAACCATCCCCGTGAGGGCGCAGGTGATTTTGGAGAAGCTGGAGCAGGTTCTAGATCAATCGCCTGCAGCATTCGTACGACATCATCCATGGATGGTCTCTTTTCAGGATTTGCAGCCCAGCACAAGTTCATGATATTGGTGAGAGGAATAGGACAGTTATCAGGTATCTTCGGGCGGACGCCTCGGTTGACAACAGCAAATGACGCTTGCACAGCAGTCATGCCATCAAATGGCACGACACATGTGAAAAGCTCCCACAGGATTATGCCGAAGCTGTATACATCTGCCTTAGGAGTGCACTGGCGAGTATCATGGAAGATCGAAGGGACATCATTTTCCATCCCCTTATTCTGTTGCAGTTCCGGCGCCATCCACCGGAAAGCATTGGACTCGTTCGTGAAATCCGCCGACTCACGTTCAATGTGCGCTGCACAGAACTCGGTGATCTTTACTGTCTTGTCTGCTGTCAGATGCAGATTATCAGACCTGAGCCGTTTATGCACAATTCCTTTGGAATGGAGATAGCTTAATCCATGTGCAATATCGACTGCCATCCCGACCACTATTCGCAGAGGCATAGATAACGGTTGCCTCTTGGAAAGGAATGATCGGAGCGATCCTCCAGCGAGGTACTCCATCACGATTATCCAAACAGGGTTTTTTTTAAAAGCCCCCACCAGGTTGATCACATTTGTATGCTGCATCTTTGACAGAGTTCTCACCTCTGACATGAACTGAAGGTCCATCTTCTTCCTCTCATCTTCACCCTCCGACGGTTGCATAACCTTAATCATCACCTCCTGCCTCTGATAACTACCCTTAAACACCTTTGCCTGTGATCCTGATGATATCTTAGATCCAATCACAAGTAGGCGAGTGTCAATCCTCCACTCGTCAAGACCAAGAAGCGGATCGCTCTCCTCTGTCTCGAGCAGTTTTGTGAGGCTTGTAGAACTGGAATCCGCATCGAGCATGTTGAGAAACTGTTCGGCATGGTCGAGGGAAACTGATGACTGTTCACTGCTCTCTGGCCCCACAGAGGAAGGAGCCCCACCCCTCCTTCGCGAACCACTGGACGTGCGTACACCAACGTCGACTGACATCTTACCGGTTGTGCGGTTGCCGGCCGTTTGTGCAGATGAAGAGCTCACCCCGTCTTCTGCAGTTTCCCACTGTTCTAGCTGAATCTCAGACTCCGAGTCACTCGATCCGTTCTCTGGGTCTTCCCGCAGCTGAGGCAACCTACTTCCTGTTGGTTCTCTCGACTCTTGTGCTGTGTCCAATCGTGACAATCTGCCATTCACCTTTGAGCATGTGTCTTGAAGCATCTTCGCTTAACTCTCTGATCAGAAAAGATACAACACACCATCCACACCACATCAGTCAGCTGTGTTCCGACTTGTAGGTCGTACTGGTACACACCTAGACCTGCTTCTTTTGTTTTTTGTTTGTTTTTTTGTTCATGGAAAGATGAACAGCTGAAATCCTCTCCAATTTGATCATGGTATGGGCCTTGCCGCCTTGGGAAAAAGGAACAGGAGGAAGAGGCAATCTATGAGACTCTGAGAGTCACATTGTACATCTGCCATTGATGGCCCCAACATTTTCCTATTCCTTTCCCCTGTATACCTATCTATAACATCCATCAACATTACATTCCGCATCTCCCATCTACTATTTGATGACCCCAGCATTTTCTTGTTTCTTCACCACAAAATCGTCCATCCTCCCTGCCTACTCCCCCCCCCCCCTCCCTCCTACCTATTTAATCTCCCACAGCCTTCCTATGTCGCAAACTGGTTGCTCTCATAATCCTCCGAAAGGGCAACTCTGATGTTCTCCATTGCCCTTTCTTGGTAGGCCCGCAGTGGTGGCGCAGCTCCCTGCCCACATCGCTCGTTCCTCAAAGTCCACAAAGCCCACAACACTGCCACCCTAATGATCTCTAGAGCCATCTGGTCCTGCAGTTGCGACCTGTCCACCTTCATCAAGGCCCCAAGAAGGATTATTGCATTGTCCACCTCCGTGACCCCCAAGGGGGTTTTGTCCGCCATTTCCTGTGCCCACCACTCCCAAAAGGCTCGGACCACCGGGCACTTTACAAAGAGATGGGGGATGGTCTCCACCTGGCCACACCCTGCTGTCCAGTGTTGATCCTTGTGTTGGCTTCTTGCTGCCAGCCATTGTGCTGTAGAAATTGCGAAGTGGTACAGCTGCCACAACAGGCCCGCCTGTTTTTGGTCTGGCAGCGCAGCAAGGGTGGCATTTTGCTCATTCCATCTACGCTGAGTCCATCTGTTGACATACACAACCGGAATCTGCTCCCTCTTGGCCCATCAGTTTTTCAATTCTCAGCATATGTCGGGTCCAGTAGAGAGTTATAGATGTTCTTCGTAGCGAGACACTGGAGCTGCACCGCCTTTCTCTGCATCCTACAGGCCGACCATTGCCACTCCCCCGGATCCCACTGCAAGTCCAGCCTTCACACAGCTTCCCAAAATGGCAAGTATTGCCCTTTCGCATCCGGGCCTCCTTCACACACCGCCACCGTCTGTATCCTACTTCTTTCCACCATCTTCCGGGGGGGGTCTTCTTGTGCAGCAGACTACCGGAGGGGCTGCCCCAGTCCATCGTACCCTGAGGACACCTGCCAGGTGGTCACTTTGAGCTTGTCATCCGGCAGCATCTGCTCGACCCTATAAACTTTATCCGGTCTTACAGTGCCTTTTATCGTCACCCATTCCCCCGGAGATAAGTCATCTCTTCTTAACATCTCTATCCACTGGGGAGGGATGACGTCTCTCAGTTCTCCAAGCCTTTGCCTCTTCCTCATCCGTCCCTGCAGCAATTCCAACACCTCATCTTCAGAGTGCCAATCCTTGCGGTCTTCATCCCATAGATGCCCGACTTTGTAGATTCCCCGTTCCACCCATTCCACCCAAAATGCTCCTGGCGCACCATGCCACTGAAAGGGCTCGCTGGCTTCGTCGCAGATGAATCTGTTGTCAAACAGCAGTTGATTATATACTGCATCCACTGTCCCCAGTAGACAACATTTTAACCACGTCTTCTTCCACAGTGCCAGCTTAGTGGACCATACCGCATCCCTGCGGATGTGGCCCATTGCTTTACGGCTAAGAAGGGACAGATCTACCAGCTCCCTGGGAACTTGAAGTGCATATGCCAGGTGGGTCCTAGTGAGTTTATGCCAGGTGCCCCCTACCGTGGCCAACAGATGCCAGATCAATTGAGACAACTGCAGCGCTGCTATCTGCAATCTCGGGTCCAACAGGCCCAGACCTCCAAAGGGCCTTGGTTGAACAAGCTTATTCCAGGCCACCCTACATATGGAGTCTTCCGCCCAAGCATCATTCGACCACAAATGCGCATGGATCGCCTTCCTAATGTATCTGAATGTACGTTTGCCTGGCATATGCACCGCCCCCGCATACCATAAGGTTGCTAGCACTGAGTTCTTGATAACCCGGGCCTTCCCGACGACGCCCATGCTCCCCCTTGCACTCCATGCTTTAAGTATGGTGACGGCTGCCGTTGCGCGAAGTGCTATCTGCTCGATCCCACCGTAGCTTGGTGTCAAATTGGCTCCCAGAAAAGCCAAGCGTTCTCCTTCTGTCACCGTGGGGATATCCCATCCCACCGGCGGGTCAACCTCTGTCGGAAGGACGACCTTCGACTTCTACCAATTAACCCGCGCCCCTGAATACTTACAAAATATTTGCAAATTGTCCTTGAGCACAGCCAACTGCTGGGCTGTCGCAGGGATCACTGCTCCTGATTCATCCGCTGACGGTCCCACTTTTAAAGCAATCAGTTTGTCATCTGCCCTTAAGATATCATGCATGGACTCGATGCAGATAATGTAAAGGGCCGGACAAAGCGGGCAACCTTGTCTGACAGGCCGGAAACCTTAAGTTTGTCCGACCTGACTCCGTTAACCTGCATCACCGTAGCTGCCCCGTCAACAGGCATCTAACCCAGCCGCAAAATATTACTCCTATCCCTCTTTGCGCCATGGCCTGTAACAGGAACTCCCAAGGGAGCATGTCATATGCTGTCTCAAGGTCAATGGGTCTGCCTGTGAATCGGTCCTCCTCCAGTACCTATTGCGCCAATGTAATATTGGACAAAATCTGGCGGCCTGACACAAACCCAGTCTGAGTGCAATCTATAAGACAGCACTTCCTTCAGGCATGTCAAAACAAAAAAAACAAAAAAAAGAAGGTGAGGAGCTTCGGAGGGGAAGGAGGAGGAGCGATGGAGGACGGAAGAAGAAAAAGAATCCTCTCTCTCTCTCTCTCTCTCTCTCTCTCTCTCTCTCTCTCTCTCTCTCTCTCTCTCTCTCTCTCTCTCTCTCTCTCTCTCTCTCTCT